ANTTGTTTGTCCCATTTTTGTTGCATTTTTCCTTCTTGTTTTTATTTCTTTTTCCCCCGTTTTAGCCCCTTTCATTAGTTTTTATTAGTTTTGTAGTTTATTATTCGTCTTGTTCTCGTTTGGTTTTCTTGCGTCGTTTTTGGTATTCTTCCGGTTTTTCTCGTCTTTGGTGTGCAGGATGCAAGGCTCAGGAGGATTTATTTTTTTCACGATAATGGGACAGGGAGAACTTAACTAAGTAGAGCGTCTCGTTGGCGACACACAGAAGAAAACAGAATCGAATTCGGGTTTCAAACGAGCTCGAACGAACACAAAATACAAGGTGATGTAACTAGGCCCGAGCACCCAGACCCCCACGCACAAGCGCCGCGCCGTGATGCCCGTCGCGCGTGTACTGAGACACACCTTTCCAGCCCCGCGCCGCGCCTGCCGTCGCGCCGCGGCATCACCATCTCCCCACGCCGCTGCAAGGGACGCGGCACCCGTCACGGACCTTCAGGAGATGCTGTTCCACTCACCACGCCGTGTCACCCGCCGCGCCGCGGCAGTGCAGGATCCTCGCGCCGTGCCACATCTCGCGGAGGCCGTCACGCGCATACAGAGAAGTTCAGGCAGTCCTTGCTCCGCGCCGTGAAGAAGCGCCGCGCCGCGAGCCTTCCACTCTCCACGCCGTGAAGGCCTTCCCACGCCGCGACACAGCCAGCTCCCGCGCCGTGATGCCCCGTCCTGCCGCGCCGCGAGATAACTTCCAGCACGCCGTGCGGTCCTTTTCCTCACACCGTGCCCGACTAGTATAAATAATATTTTTGGGGACTATCGATCATTATCTCTCATTCTCACGCACTCCAACAACGACAAAAACCCTACCCTCTTTCTTTTCTCTCGTTTTTCATCGTTCTTTCATATTTTTGAACGTAGAACAAGGATTTGATCTTGGATTTTGCTATTGCTTTTTGATTCAAGTTTGTTTATCGGATTCAACGTTTAGATTCATCAATCGTAAGATTTTCTTTTGACTTAATCGTTAAATATGAATTCTTGGGTTGTGATTGCTTGTGTTGATTATTCGATTATGAGTAGCTAAATCTCTACGCTAGGGATAGGGGATTGATGTTTTGAATTCGATTGCAATTAGCATGTGCGTGATTGTTCAATTTGTACGAGTTAATCTTTTACTAGGGTTTTTCAATTGTCGGGCTCAAATATTGATAATTGTTGAAGGGTGACACTTCAACTTACAATTGTTTCGATTGAATTAGATTTATTCGTGCTTGAAATTGGGAATCTGTTTGATTAGACGGTTAACCACCCTCTAGTCTACTTTAATCGACTCTTAGAACCGAAAGGGGAGGAGTCGGTCGAAATAGGCTCGTATGAACTAGGCTTGTTCGTAACTGTATTGCCTAGAAGCTAAATGAATTGTTAATTTATCGTTCTAGTTTCTTCTCTTGTTACGAAAAGTTATTGAGAATGAGTGCTTGGACGTGTCGATTAGTCAAATCACTTAGCTGAATAATCACTTGCCCATTAATTGCAATTCGAACCAAAACGGATCTCCCCGATTCCCTAGCTACTCAAATCATAATTGTTCTTCGTTACTTGCTTTCTTTATTGCTTAATTTGAATTATCGCAGTAGTTGATAATTAAACCAAAACCAATCTTTGAGTTAGAATGTCTAGGAACTTTATTTCTTTTATTTGTTTTTGAATAAACGTATAGAATATTCCGGCTAACCTTCCTCGTGAGACACGACCCGGTGTTCGAATCTTTAGATTCTACTCCGGAAAAATATTTACAACAAGATATATACCAAAGATTATGTTATTGTATTATTATTGTTGTTTACTTTAGTACGGGTGATTCCAGGGTACAAGAGGATCAGTACTCACCCCCATTGTGTTTTTCAGGTAACAGAGTCGGGCCAGAGGTGTGAGCTCGAGATGTGGTGGTGGTGGTCGTGCACTTATTTGAAGTGGACATTTATTAAGTATTTGATATGTCTGTATAATAAACCACGTTTTTAAGTATTTCCGCTATGCACAATTAGTATTGAACTTGCATTTTTAATAAATTTCAGATTTCAAGTTTATACCATTTCGAGAAGTATGAATATGGTACAGTTAAATGCAAGTTTAAAGGAAATCTGTTTTCTTTATGTCTAGAGAAGTATTAGACAGAAAGTTTAAAGATAAACAAATTTTCAAGAAGATGAGTTTGAGTAGCATCTCGAGTTAGTCGCAAAACATTTCGAAAGAGTTATAAGTATTTTCGAAGTAAAAGTTGCGAAAAATTTACTCTGATGCGGGGTGTTACACGAGGTGTTTTGGGGAAACTTAATGCGTAACCCTGTCGCGACTCTCGAGAGTGGATGGGCCTCGAGAAAGACGATAGTGACCTATTCCTTTGCGAAATTCTCTCAGCGAACGAATCCGACCTTGTTCTTAAGGCGGATAGACCGATCCGGTACCGCGTGAATAGTTTATGATGCAATTTCGAGTGACATTTCGGTCTCGAAGGAGACGTAAAAAATTCTCTTCCGTATTTTGGAGCCGCGAGCGATTTCCAGTGACAGTGGGACTTACCAGGAACAGCTTGAACCGAGGACAAAAACAGTGAAATCGTGGACTCGTGAAGGCAAAGCAGTCGTGTTTCCTTTCTTAAATTATTGTCTTCTTGTATGCTCTTGCAAACCTTTTTCCCATTCACATGGCAAACAATTTTGAAGTGTGCTTGAGGCTTCTTCTTGTTACCCCATTTTCGTATTTTGAGGATTTCGCTTGATCTTCCCCCACTTTTGATTCGCTGTGTAAACTATTTTAAGCTTCCCAACTTTAAAATTCTCTTCTCTTGAAGTTTAACAAATTCTGGTTTATCTTATGTTGGGAATTGACTTTGTTTTGAAAAACCTGATTTCAAGTGAGATTAAGCATCCCTTTTGTTTTCTGCTTATCGTTATTTTCTTGCGAAATGAGAGTTCCGTTCGAATGCCATCGTTAAAAATACCACGAAGACTCGAGGGCAAAATGTTTTCTATCGCCACTTTGTGAATAACCTAACCTCGAAGTGGACAATAATTATTCACGCTTGGCATCGAGATGAACGCACAGGAACTGAAGCCAGCACAATTCGGTTCGATAAGAAGATGGAGTGTTTTTCCACCTTAAAGGATTATGCAGAAGCCTTTTAAGGAGAATAGTCGAGTCAGAAGCAAGCACATCGCGTAGTGCAGACCCGTCCTTATTCTAATCTTCTTCTTCGTAAAAATTTTTGTTCTTTTCCTCCTTTCGGAATCCCGAGAGGAACTTCGCGTTCAAATTCCAAGTGTGAAGATTGAGAAGTGAGTTGCGCTCGTTTAGGACTGCTGACACGATTAGCTACCCAATGAAGAGCTGACGTGTCGGCAACGCTGTTAGTCGGAAGAGTCGAGGCGAGCTAGTTATTGTATCTCTTGGCAGGAGCTGCTGATTGGAGATTATTCCCGACTGAATAACTGTATTAGAATTTCATTGAGAATTCTCGTCTATCGCAATTGTTGATCTCTTCGCGTATTAGAATGTGTCGTTGGGAAAGGAAGTGGACTTGGAACTCGGACTTATACCTTTCTATTTTTGGAAACCCTTGAACTTTCAAATTGTGGAATACCTGCTATATATGTTGTTTTGTCGACCCCAAAAATTTTCGAAATTTGGTAAAACTTTCCTTTTTGGCAGCCTTGAATTGTAACTTCTTGTGAAAACCTGGACCAAACCCGACCCTGGCTGGGTGTAGCCACGCGAAGTGGTGGCCGAGCACGCACGACCGTGCTAAGAGACGAGAGGCTTGCGCGCGGCCGACTGTTGACTCGCATACGAACTGCAGCCGCCATCACCGAACGCACAAACTCCCCAGGCCAGCGTGTGCGGCCAAGCCTCGACCTTACAGCTGGTCTCCGAGTAGGTGGGTATGCACGCGTCCCAGTGCCCCGCTTATGCAGCGCCAGTGAGCGTGCCCCCTCTTGGGTGACAGTACACTAACCCCGAACCTTCGATTCATTTTGTTGACCGACCAGTTTTGCTGAGCTATTTATGTTACCTCGAACCTTGAACCGGGAGCTCCAAGTTCCACTAAAATGTGTATAAATCCTTAATCGATGGTTTCTAATTAAGGAGTGTAGTTGATGAGTCCCTATGCTTTACTTGAGAGTTTTCTCGAGTCGGCAAATTGGGAATGTCGTGTTGCTTTGGGTCAAGCCTTATGTTTGTGCATAAGGGTTGCGTTCGACTCGTGGAGTCGATATCATGAGAGTGTGATCTTGATGGTGTCGTGCTTTATGTATGTGGTACCGTGTCATTGTCTCTGATAGAGACACACGGCCGTGATGAAGTCGTGAGCAAGTTGTCAGTGTGACTCGGACACGAGACTGAAACTTGGCGTCACGTGTCCACCTTGATGGTGAGGTAGTTGGAGTACGCTGACAATACACCGAACGACCTGTTGAGGTCTTGTGTACTGTTGCAAGTCGTTGATACTCATGAGTATAGGCTAAACCGAACTAGGTCCCTTGCAAGAGGATGTACGCCTGAGCTCGGGCAGGACTGATCACCCTCCCAAGCAAGAAGGTAAACATATGAGCATGGGCGAGTCGGATTGGTTCCTGTATGTGAGTTCATGCCTTTCGAGTATAAGGTGATAGGACTCATGGGAACGGAATCGAGTTCCGGAGAGTGATGCCCGGACCTCGTGATTGGAAATTCCCGTTCGAGTCTGCCATTTCCTTTTTGATGCGTGTTCTTTCGCATTTCCGAGGACGGAAATGTTTTAAGGAGGATAGATTGTAATGGCCCTGTTTGATTATTGAATAATTGGGAATTATTTAATTTTTTATTTTTATTATTATTATTTGCCCTTAATTGTTGTTATTATTATTATTGATTGTATGTTTAAAATTATTAAATGTCTAATATGATTTATTTGTCAACTTGTAATTAATGTTCTAATTGTCTAAGTGTTATTATTTAATTAAAAATGTGTATTTGTATTTTTATTAATATTATTAAAAAAATTAAAATTAATTGTGTGTATTATAAATATTTATAATATCCGGCTCATTTATTTTATCGTGCGACTTAATTTTTCGAGCTGAACCGATTAAATTTTACGTCTAGATGAGCCCGATAAAAACCGAAACCGGAACCGTTAGGCGAACCGGCCGACTCGCGATTCCGACGACCCGACCCGGTCCGCCCCTACCCAGCTTGTGTGTGCGTTATTTTGCAAGACAAGAGTTTACCCTAGTCCTTATTTTTGGTCTCGTTCGTTCAAAATATTGTCCCGCAGTTTTCACTATCTTTTTCCTTTTTCCTCTCGACCACGCGACATAGAGAAGAGAGAATCGTCTTCTTCGTTAATCTCACCTATCCCCTGAATCCTTTCCGTCGCCATCACCACCGTGAGTTGCTGTCTCGTCGCCACCCCGAGCAGGCCACTTCCCACAATCGCGCAACTCCTCTGCCGTGAGCTCATGTCAACGCAGCGATTCCGGCGACCCCCTCCGCTGTGAATCCCCCTCTGCTCGCGAAATCAGTCCTTTCCGACCGCGCCTGCAGAACCCCAGTGCCGAGCCACCATGACGTGAAGCCAGCCGTGAGCTAACCTCCGCGAGCAGACCCCGAACTCCGGCGACCTCTCGCCTGCAATCTCGAGCTCTATTCACCTCGCCGGCGACGCGAGCCTGAGCTTTCAGGTTCAGCCTCCGACCGGCGACGCACTCAGATTTTCCGGCAAGAGCAGCAGACCTGCGCGACTGAA